GCATGTGCCACCAGGCCCAGCTGATTTTTTGTATTTTTAGAAGAGACGGGGTTTCACCATGTTGACCAGGATGGTCTCGATCTCTTGACCTTGTGATCCACCCGCCTTGGCCTCCCAAAGTGCTGGGATTACAGGCGTGAGCCACCGCGCCTGGCCCGAGAATTCTTTCAACCTTGAGATCCTAAGTTTCGGAGATTCTATTTCTGTGTATAATTAATGCTAAGTCTAGAATTATATAATTCTGAGACTAGGCTTCTGTTTCACCAAGTCTGTGGTTCTAAAAGCTTGTGATTCTAACATCTTATGATTCATTTATCAACATATATCTTGGGCCAGGCGTGGTGCTCATGCCTTTGGGAGGCTGAGGAGAGCAGATCACAAGGTCAAGAGGTCAAGACCATCCCGGCCAACATAGCGAAACCCCATCTCTACTAAAAATTAGGCAGGTGTGGTGGTGCACGCCTGTAGTCCCAGCTACTTGGGAGGCTGAGACAGGAGAATTGCTTGAACCAGGGAGGCGGAGGTTGCAGTGAGCCGAGATCGCACCACTGCACTCCAGCCTGGTGACAGAGCAAGACTCCATCTCAAAAAACAAAACAAAACAAACAAAAACATATATCTTGGCTGACCAACTCTTCTCTGCCAGGCACAGTGCTGGGTGCTAGGGTTCAGTAGAGAAAAGATGACTCCAGTATCTGCCCACCTGTGGCTTGTGAGTGAATGGGAACACAAGCAAACACATGGGCACACAGGATGCAGTGATCTCTGTCACGTGGGGAAGCACAGCAGTGGGGTGGGGAGTGTGGTAAAGGAAGGGTCACCAATCCAGACTATTCAGGAGAGATGTGAGCAGAAACTGTCCCAAAAAGCAAACAGGAAAAGAGGGTACTTCAACCAGGGAAGAAAGCCTGTTGTAGACTGTGTTCCAATTAACTGGAACAGCCATTGCAAAGGTCCAGGGGTGGGGGAGAGAGCCAGCATCCAGCACACCTGGTGAAGCAGAATGAGTTCAGTATGGGTTGGTGTAGAGTTGGGGGTGGGAGGCGGTGGAAGAGGGGCGGAGTGGCCAGAGACTGTGGCCAGATGATTGAGAACCTAGTAAACCATGTCAAGGAGTTTGAACTTTATTCTGAGGGCAAAGGGGAGCCAGGGAAGGGTTTTAAGGGGCAGCAGAGTGGTGCGATCTGGTGGGTAGTTTGTAAAGATGCTCCTGGCTGCTGTGTACAGGTTTAGAAGAAGGTGAGATGAGAGACAAGTTTGGAACAAGACCTCAGGTGAGAGAAGAAGACGCCAGAGTGGGTGGGAGGTCGGCCTGAGAGAAACATTTCATTTACAGTGTGGGGAACAGATGGGGGTGTTGGCAGTGTGGGTTATACTGGTAACCTGGGAGCCCAGGACTCCTGGATTTTATGATTCTAAAATTCTTGGCCTGGCACAGTGGCTTATGCCTGTAATCCCAGTACTTTGGGAGGCCAAGGTGGGCAGATCATTTGAGGTCAGGAGTTCAAGATCAGCCTAGGCAACATGGTGAAACCTCACCTCCACTAAAAACACAAAACAATTAGCTGGGCTTGGTAGTGCACACCTGTAATCCCAGCTAGTTGGGAGGCTGAGGCAGGAGGATCCCTTGAACCCAGGAGGTAGAGATTGCAGTGAGCTGAGATCGCACCACTGCATTCTGGCCTTGGTGACAGACAGAGACTCCACCTCAAAAATAAAGTAAAATAAAATAAAGTAAAAGTATCTGATTCTGTGTTCAACACGCCATCATTCAATACAAAATGTCCAATGATATCACCATATGTGTACACTGCCCGACCTTACCACCCTCCATCTCTCCTTTCTGAGCTTCAGTTTTTCTTGTTTACAAAGTGAGGACAATTAACACTGTCCTTGCAAAGCAGCCATGGGAGTGGGGGCTGGTGTGTATTCAGCATCTGCACAGAAAGGGGCTCCGTCATGGCAGGCGTGTTTGCCCTGAAGTGCTCAACACACAGGCACTTCAGGAAAGAGCTGGGTGTTGAGAGAACAAGAGAGATCAGAAGGGAAGAGCAGGGCAGGTGAGCAAGAGCCTGGTCCTTGTCTGCTCCTGGAGACCTGGGCTGCTTTGGCCTCCCAACCTCTGCCTGGGTTTCTGGTAACCAGATTTGGTTGTTAGCTTCTAGGCACCAGCAAGTTCACATGTTGGTTGTGGGGTTCCCCATTTCTGCAGCTGGCCAGTTCTGCCCGCTCCTTCTCCTGGCCTTAAACTCCCCCAGGGGCTGCAGACAACAGTTGGGGGTAGCCAGGCAAGATCTGGTCTTCCCTGGACTGACCTAAGCCAGGTCAAGTCCCGCAAAGGTGATTGGACCCAACCTGCTCACACTCGAGTGCCCCCTCTAGGTCACGCTATAGGTATTCCCTTCTTAGACAACTGTCCATTGGCTCCAGCAAGACCGTCTTTGGAGGCAGAACCCTCACTCTCCCCAAAACACGTGGTCTCCTGAACCACACCCAAGGTTTATGTGTGCTCCTGCATTATAATTTGCTTCTTACCAATGTTTCAGTTTTAATTCAGTTCAATCCACAAAACATCAGTTGAGGCCGGGCACAATGGCTCACGCCTATAATCCCAGCACTTTGGGAGTCTGAGGCAGGTGGATCACTTGAGGTCAGGAGTTTGAGACCAGCCTGGCCAACACGGTGAAACCCCGTCTCTACTAAAAATACAAAACTTTGCAGAGCATGGTGGTGGGTGCCTGTAATCCTAGCTACTCAGGAGGCTGAGGAAAGAGAATCACTTGAACCCGGGAGGCAGAGGTTGCAGTAAGCTGAAATCGCACCACTGCACTCCAACCTGGGCAACAGAGCAAGACCCCATCTCAAAAGAAATAAAAAATAAATTGAACAACATAACTGTGGCAGGCCTACCCGTTGTTTGGAGAAAGATGGGAGACCAGCAGTGGTGGGTCTGAAGCTGCACAGTGCTTAGTGGATCAGAGTTGGGCTTAGGGTGTGAAGCCAGAGAGCTCAGATAATTTCTTTGCACACAGTAGGGGCTCCACAAACACCCATGAAATTTTTTTTTTTTTTTTAAAGATGGGGTTTCACCATGATGGCCAGGCTGGTCTTGAACTCCTGACCTCAGGTGATCCACCCACCTCGGCCTCCCAAAGTGCTAGGATTACAGGCGTGAGCCACCGCACCTGGCCAACACCCATGAAATTAAATCAAATTAGGAGTTCAAGCGACACAAGTCATATACATTTACTGGCCAGCATGTGCACCAACTACTTCCAGAAGGAGAAGAGAGACTGGAGAGCAAGATGGCTCCGGGAAGGTGGGCTGGGTAACCAAGATCATGGGTGAGAGAAAGATCTACTTCCCACTTTATGCCCTTTTGGACCTTTTGAAATGTTTTATTTTCACCACGTGCTCGCAGAGCAGAGTCAATCAAACAAACCATCACAATTAAATAAACAATGCAGGGAGCCAGGCTGTCTTGGCGCTCCATGGTTTCATGCATGCTCTTTCTCCTGGTGAGATACTCCTTCCCAGCTTTCTCCAGCTGAAGAAGTATGCTAATGTCCTGTCTTCTGGTGCCTGTCCCTGCCTCCCTGTGACGGTTCTTCTCTGCTTATCCACACATGCACAGTCCAATCTCCAACGCTGTCTGTCCTGCTCTGCAGCCTGGAGGCAGCTGTGCCTTCTGACCTCACAATGCATTCAGCCAAGGGGAGGAATCCACAGAGATAAAAAGGCAGGATGGGGGAGAAGTGGGCGTGTTGATGCCACCCCCGCTCCCTCACTGTTTTGCCTTAGCTTGGGTGGAGGCTGAATTTCTCTGTGGCCTCAACTCCTGCCTTGACCTCACTTCTATGGCTCAAGCTATCTCTGCGTCAAGCAACACCATTTTCTCTCTCTCCCCTTTGGCCTTGGGGTGCTAACAGCTCCCCACTGTTGCAATCCCTGTGTGCCTCACCTCTGCACTTTTTTCATTAAGTTTCCTTCAGTTAAGCCAGCGGTTCACAAGCTGGGGTGACTGCCCTCCAGAGACATTCAGTGATGTCTGGAGACACTTTGGGTCATCATGACTGGTGCGAAGATGCTACTGGTGGAGGCAACAGATAGTGCTAAATGCCAGGTGCAGTGGCTCACGCCTGTAATCCCAGCACTTTGGGAGGCTGAGGCGGGTGGATCACCCCTGAGGTCAGGAGTTCAAAACCAGCCTGACCAACATGGAGAAACCCCGTCTCTACTAAAAATACAAAAAAAATTAGCCAGGCATGGTGGTGGGCGCCTGTAATCTCAGCTACTCAGGAGGCTGAGGCAAGAGAATTGCTTGAACCCGGGAGGCAGAGGCTGCAGTGAGCCAAGATTGTGCCATTGCACTCCAGCCTGGGCAATAAGAGCGAAACTCCATCCCCAAAAAACAAAAAGAGATAGGCTAAACATCCTACCCTGTGCAGGACATCACCCACAACAGAATTAGCCAGCCTCAAATGTCAACAGCCCTGAGACTGAGAATCCCCCGTGAGTTTTTGGGACCCGCACTGCCTCCTGCCTGGAGCTGGATAGTTCACGGTGAGGATCCTGGACTCCTGCTGCCCTCCCTGCACTGTGGTATGATCTGCCAGTTTCCACACCTGTTGTTGATCATCTCTCTTTCGCAGAGATGAAAAGACCCCATCCTTGCCCTCAAGCCAGCCATAGTGCAGTGGAGAGAGACCCTGGTGAGCAGGGTTCCCCAGCAGCCTTGAGTCCTTGAGGGCAAAGTCTCTTTGTCAGTCACCATGTAGCCCCAGTAGTAGGAGAGCAGCAGACATTCAGTGATTGAAACAAAAGATTCTTTAAAAATATCTTAAAATAAGGCAGGTGCAGTGGCTCATGCCTGTAATCCCAGCACTTTGGGAAGCCAAGGCGGGTGGATCACCTGAGGTCAGGAGTTTGAGACCAGCCTGGCCAACATGGCAAAACCCCGTCTCTACTAAAAACCCAAAAATTAGCCAGGCGTGGTGGTGGGTGCCTGTAATTCCAGCTACTTGGGTCCCAGTGGCATGGGGGTTCTCTTTGCGATGATTCATTGAGCAGCACATTCGAGTTTTGTGCACTTTTTGATGTCTGTTTTTTGTTTTTTGTTTTTAGAGTTGGGGTCTCACTTTGTCACCCGGGCTGGAGTGCAGTGCCACCATCACAGCTCACTGCAGCCTCCACCTCTTGAGGCTCAGGCCATCCTCCCTCCTCAGCCTCCCAAGTAGCTAGGACTACAGGCACGTGCCACAATGCCTGGCTAATTTATTATTATTATTTGTAGAGGCAGGGGATCTTGCTATGTTGCCCAGGCTGGCATCCAACTCCTGGGCTTGAGTGATCCTCCAGCCTGATCCCAAAGTATTGGGATTACAGGCATTAGCCATCATGCCCAGCCATATGTGTGTTATACTTCAAATTTTATGTAAAATTTTTTGAAACACATACGCAGAAACCATTACCATCTGGAAGTATTTCTCTGGACAAAGCAGGATTGTGTTTGGATAGAAGGGAAACCAAACGAGGAAATAATCCATTCCAAGTACAGGAGGCATCTGTCTAAACTTTGCTGAACAGGTGAAAAGAATACAATTGTCAAGACTGGGCTTGGTGGCTCACACCTGCAGTTCCAACACTTTGGGAAGCCAAGGCGAGCTGATCACTTGAGGTCAGGAGTTCCTAGTCAACATGGTGAAACCCTGTCTCTACTAAAAATACAAAAATTAGCTGGTCATGGTGGTGCACGCTTGTAATCCCAGCTACTTGGGAACCTGAAGCAGGAGAATCACTTGAACCTCGAGGCAGAGTTTGCAGTGAGCCGAGATCACACCTCTACACTCCAGCCTGGGCCACAGAGTGAGACTCTGCCTCAAAGAAAAAAAAAAGAATACAATTGTCAGGTATGCCCCGATTTGAAATTGTGGTGCTTAATAAAACAGCCTCTTTTTTTTCTCGACAATTGCTGTATGTGATGATATCGGTGTTGAGATTCATGTCTGTTTCACTCTCCTGTTTTTCCTGAGTTCTCGGGCATTTGAAGTTACAGCTTTCTATGGATTTTATATGTCAAGCTTTCATGGGGAAAAAAGTTCCACCATGGCAAAGAGAATATGAGAATCTGACGGTGGGGTTCTAAATCCTGCGTATCAGAAGCAGGCTGCAAATGGCAGGATGGGTTTGGGGGTGATTCATGTGACTGGGACTGGTGGGAGGGAGGTGCCCATGGAGGACAGGCAGAATCTAGCAGGCAAGAGACTGCTGCAGCCATCTCTGCAAAGCTGTGTTCCCATTTGCCAAGGGCCTCTCCACCCTCTAGTCCCCTAAGGCCCACTCCATGCCAAGTTACAGTGGGGCGGCATGCATCCAACCACAAAGACGTGGTGTGCCGGAAAGGAACTTGGAGGTTATGCAGGCTGGAGATAAGTGGGTGGGGTTGGGGCTGGGACTGAGCATCTTCTGATTCGTGTTTTACATAAACACTGCAGAGAATGAACTTGGGCTGGAAGAGGGGCAGGAGGCCAGCAAAGAGAGTGGAGTGTTAGGGGGCTAGTTTGCCATGTGTTTGCCAAGGACTGACTAGAGGGTGGAGAGGCCCTTGGTAAGTGGGAACACAGCTTTGCAGATGGCTGTGGCAGTCTCTTGCCTGCTGGATTCTGCCTGTCCTCCATGGTCACTTCCCTCCCACCAATCCCAGTCATATGAATCACCCCCAAACCCATCCTGCCATTTGCATCTTGCCACATGACACCAATGGCGGCCAGGTGTCATGAGAGACTATGGCCCCGACACCTCGACTCATTCCTTCCCATCTCCAAACAACCCAAACCGACCACTTCCCACCGCCTCACTCCTCCATCCCAGCCCTGGTGCTCACCATCTCCTGGCACATAGTAGGTGGTCACAAAATATTTACTAAAGCCCAGCTACCTCCCAGCAGGTCTGCCCCACTCTGGCCCCTGAGTCCCTTCTCTGGGTGTTTATAAAAAATCAGCAGATTAGTGTTTATAAACTAATCAGCAGATGCTCAGGCTTAGTCCCCAGCCCACCCAGTTATCCCCAGGCCACATGGAGTAACATGCAAATTCCTTCCCACCACCTGCAGGCCTCCAATTGCCAGCCCCCATGGCCTCTGCTCCCCGCTGTCACTCAGCGACGCCTGTCCACCCTCAGGGCCTTTGCTTTCCCCACCACCACCGTGTCCCTCTGCCTGGACTCCTTTTCTCCCACATCTTCAAAATAGCTGCTGCTTCTTGTGACTCAGATGTCGCAAATGTAACCCACTCTCAGGAAACTGGCAACACAGGGCCTCTTGGGAGGAAGACTGCAAAGCTGGGGACAAAAGGGCCTGACATGGTGGCGGCACAGCTGCTTGAATTCGCCCCATGTGCATATTCAAATACAGTATTAATTAAAATGGAAGCCTCAGCTGGGAGCAGCGGCTCATGCCTATAATCCCAGCACTTCGGGAAGCAAAACAGGGAGATCACTTGAGCTCAGGAGTTCGAGACTAGCCTGGGCGACATGGCAAAACTCTGTCTCTGCAAAAAATACAAAAATTAGCCAGGCGTGGTTGCTCACGCCTGTGGTCCCAGCTACTCGTAAGGCTGAGTAGGGAGTATTGCTTGAGGCTGGGAGGCAGAAGTTGCAGTGAGCCAAGATCACACCACCGCACTCCAGCCTGGACAACAGAGCCAGACCCTGTTTCAAAAAAACCAAAAAATAAAAGTGTCTCCTTGGAGAGACCTTTCTAGGAAGCAACATTCCCAGTTACTTCCTCTTAGGGTACTATAACTTTCCCTTAGGAATGCTGATTATAGTCTGCAATTGCCTTGT